TGATGTTCACTCTGGGACTTGAACCCAGTACCTTTCACTTCAAACGCCATTACGTTATCCATTTAGCTACTGAGTCCTGATAGCCACTTGGCTGTGCTTGAGATGCAGGTACATCCAGCTGACGAGTCTCAAATAGGATGAAACGCGAGTCCTGGATTCCACTGCTGGCCGCTATTCATATTTGCTTACTATGCTTATGAATTAAGGCTATATTGAGGCAATACGCACAGTGTACACATATGCCAAATAGAGACTGACCAGTTGCAGTTCTAAACATCAATGGAAAGATTACAAAAAGCAATACCAAGGGAATATAAAGATTTATTATTATATTAATCTACTACCATTAAATTTGTATGGATTTTGTACCTAATTTCAAAAACCTAGTAAAGAGCCTTGGTGAAAAACTAGTTGAAAAAACAATGTTTCTCCTAATTTTCTGATTTAATAAATTATTATAACCTACAAGTAAAAGGTAGTCTGAAAGAATTTCCTGTTAAGAATTGAGACAACATGAAACTAAACATGATAAGGCAAAATAACTTGCTCCAAGCATTGCTTTCAGTGAACATATGTTGGTTCTAGAAAGGATATTGAAGAAAGTGCAACTTATAGGACTAATTTACAGCTTATTATTGCCCATATTTTTATTACATAATTACCAAACAACTAGACTACCATGTTTTCATATTCTTTTTATTGTAAGATTCCGGTTAATCTATTAACTATTAACAGTATGGTGATTTGTGAAGATTGTAGTATTTTCACAGTAGAATTCACGAGTCGATCTAAGTTAAACCACCATTGTAAACCTGGAAGCACTGGACAGCCGTTTCATCCTAGTATGGGACTCCTTGGTAGTGTTCATCCACGATCCCACTCGTGGGACTGGGACCCAGGACTTTTGTTCTCACATGCGTGCGCTTACTAGGACGTAACGGCCCTCCAATGCTTTCAGTTTTTCAATGGTGGTCTAACTTGTATTAACTAGTGAGTTATTAACTATTATTATACGTTTTATTAGTTTTAAACTATTGCTAATCATTTATTTATCATCTACCCAGTTTCGCTACCGATTTCAGCCTGTGATGTGTATTACTATGATTCTCTACTTCATAATATGATGTAGTTGGTTTTCTAATGTATATAAACCAATTAGTTCATGTGATGGCTGTTAGGCTCGTTAGTTGAAATATAACATAAAAGCTTGGCTGCAATTTTCTCTTCAAACACAAGTCTGGGAGATATATATATGGCGGCCTGCTTGAATCCCTGGGCTACCTGTTTCTGCCATCTAAATATTTCAACAAGTTATCTGGGTTTTTTAAAAATTTGTTTTAACCTATCATTATGTCTCTTGATCGCATAACCTATACAGGCGCGTTTATGAAAAGCTTACGTCCTTTCGTTGCAAAAATTACAAACAAGTACAATAAGAGACATTGTGGTGTTTGGCAATATGCTTTAGAGAGAATAAACATTAATCAAATGTCGATTCCCGAGCTGCTTAACTCTAACTGTCGATCTCTAATTAACAAAGTGGACTATCTCCAATTTCTGCTAAGTCAAAACATGTATCGTAATTGTGGTGTCATCACAATTTCAAGAATCTTGGTTGACTGACTTACAGGATGATTGCCTAGTATCATTACGTGATCTTAATATCTATCGTCAGGATCGATCAAACAATAAAAAGACCTGTGGTGGCGCAGTAGCTATTGGTTTTTTTTTGGTAAAAAAACTTGTTGAAATAACTCGTGCTGAGAATTCTATATTGTACCAGATTATAATATTGAATAAAGCCATTAATTGTTATTATTATTATTATTATTATTATTATTATTATTATTATTATATAAGAAGGCGAGAATGCCTTATCAGGAGACCAAAAGGAGTTGAGCTTACATAAGCTTAGCATTCCGTATCTTGCATTTGTCAGTATTTTTCCGTTCATTTAGTTAATCATTACAGCATATAAGAGTGTAATTTCCATTAGGGAATTCATTTTACTCATCTCAACAGATCTACATATATCTTCTGTGAATACATCTATTCTGGTGCATCCCAACTTATCGGATGAATAAATAAATAAACTCATACATGCAGCATTCAACCATTAAATAAACAAACATTACGAAGCAGATATACTACAAACTCACGAGCATCTATTTGATTTCAAAATAAACACTTACTTACTTACTTACGCCTGTTACTCCCAATGGAGCTTTGACCGCTGACTAGCATTCTCCAACCCACTTTATCCTCGGCCTTCCTTTCTAGTTCTATCCAGTTTTTGTTCATTCTTCTCATGTCTGTCTCCATTTCTCGGCGTAATGTGCTCCTTGGTCTTCTTCTTCTCCTTTGGCCATCAGGATTTCATGTGAGGGCTTGTCTTGTGACACAATCAGGTGATTTCCTCAAGGTGTGCCCAATCCACTTCCAGCTCTTCTTCCTGATTTCTTCCTCCACTGGAATCTGGTTTGTTGTCTCCCACACTAAAATGTTGCTTATAGTGTCTGGCCATCGGATCCGAAGTATATTGCGTAGATAACTGTTAATAAACACTTGTATCTTCTGGATGGTGGCTTTCGTAGTTCTCCGCGTCTCCGTCCCATACAGTAGAACTGTATCGACATTTGTATGGAAAATTCTGATGTTGGTTGATGTTCTTCGGTTGTTCAAAAAATAAACAGTTTAAACATTTAAGCAAGTAATCATGATTCAAATCAACATATCTCCTAAATATCAATATCAATATACCTCTTGACAATCTTCAAAAAAATAAACATAATTTTATGTCTGGAAAATAAGTTGATTAGATTTATATTACATTACCTGTCATGCACAGAATTGTGTATTTTTTGTATTTTTTCCTCTTCCCTAAGCAACTAAATATTCTCTTAGAGATACAATAGAAAAAACAGAACAGAATAACAAAATGAATAGATTGATTTGTTCAATGTACAGTTGACATTAAGTACACATAGTTATACCCAGTCTTCAAGTACTTTGTTTATTTACTTATCTAAAAAAAATTTGGAACAATCTTCAAAGTTGATGATTCAATTAAAAAGTGGATAAACAAATCATTTGTTGTTGTTACTGTTGTTGTCAAGTGCCTGAAGAAAGAAAATGATACTTTGATTTTCACATCATCATCGTCATCAAAGTTTTTTTTCTAAATTATCTAAATAAAATAAGTTAAATATGTTAATATCTAATCATAAATATGTAAAATCGGTGAGATTGTAATTTATGGACAACCTCTGAGGGACACTAAAATGATCCTGAGAATGTCCATCTGTTATATCTAGAGCTTCGATTCTTACTATGCCGCGTACTACTAGACTACTTGAACGATCGAACTCGCAACGTCGCAAAAGAGAAAACAGAAGACTAGTAAGTATGAATTTTATTCTCCAAACAGTGTCAAGTATATTGCAAAATTCTCATGTATTTATAGTTTTCTGGCTGAAAGTAAATCATCATTGCGAACAACCAATAGGCACATAAGGGGTCATTCTTATTCATCCAATAGGGAAGCTACACGTCGACATTCTAAAATATTCCACTAGTGGTGATTGGATGGGATGTCTTCGTCTTTTTCTGAGCTTCCTGAGGCTTCCTTGAGTTTTGCTAACGAGCCATACTTACACCATCTGCTAACTACGACTAAATGAGGGTTAGAAACTAGTATGAGGAATAAGTATTAAGATTTTCAGTTGGTGGTTGAGGTAAAAAAAAAACTAGATTTAGGGTTTTTATCACCAACTGATATCAGCTATAATGCCAAAACTGTATTTAATCAGATAGATGACTGAATTTCTTTCGAAAATCCAAGTCTTGTTATCTTACATCTGATCAGTTCATTCATAAATTATAGTCTCAACTCCATAGAAATTTTAAAAGAAATCAATTAATCACAGTTAAATATGATAAGTGTGTTACTGAAATAATTAAGTAAGTAATTATTTTCCTTGATTCTTTCTTCTATAAATTTGAATGAAAACTAACGTTCATTGATCCTTATCAGAAAGGAATTTTGTGGAGATTGTAGTAATTTGTTAGTTGAATTCATGAGTCAACTAAAGCTAGATCAACTTGGAAAACTTGGAAGCACTGGACGGCCGTCTCATCCTAGTATGGGACTCCTCAGTAGTGCACATCTACGATCCTACTCGCTTAAATATCTATCATGGACAATGGCTATAATCCTCTCTCTCCAAATAATCAATTTACTTGAATTGATGAATCAAACTTTTTTTTGTTACTAATTGTATAAATGTTTTGAAATAAATTTTCCTAGTTCATATTTGTCTTAATTGGTTAATTAATTATGTTTATATATTAGTCTGAATATTTACGTACATATTCACTTTTCATTATTTGCTTATATCTTTCTATTGTTGTTTAGGTCTGCAATTGATCAGTCTTTTGTTAGCATGTGCGCATCCTGTGCGAACTGCTTCTATATTGCCTTAATTTGCAAGCTTTTTAAGCAAAGATGGACTTGAGGCAATATCAAAGCAGTTCGCACAAGATGTACATATGCTAACAAGAGATTGATCAATTGCAGTCCGAAATAACAATTAGAAGATACAAGTAAACAACACCAAGTGAATTTAAACTTCACCACATTGCACAAGCAGGTGGCTATCAGGACTCAACAGCTAAGTGAATAACGTAATGGCATTTGATGCGAACGGTACTGGGTTCGAGTCCCTGAGTGAATATCAACTCTGAGATGCAAGTACATCCATGTGACGAGTTTCAAATAGAACGAAACGCTCGTCGTGGATTCCACTGTTAGCCAATATCCATATTTGCTTAAATCTTCAAATTCATTCATAATCTTACATTTCTATGATTGAATTTAAGAAAAAATAGTTTAAATATATAGTGATTGTAGTATACATACAGGCATATATATACCATCATTCAAAGAAAAGTATTGCCAAAGAAAATCAACTGATCTACTACAGTTACAATCAAAAACCTACCGACAATTTTTTTGTTGTTGTTGAAAATTTGACATAAAAATCTTGCTACTAATGTTTAGTTGATGTAATAAAGAACTATACATGTTATAGACATATATAACATGAGAAGCATATTGATTTTCGCGTAAAGTTTTAATTGAAGACTTCAATAGGTGGGAACAACAAAGATATAGTTTAAGATGATAAATAACATTGGTAATATAAATAAGTAGTGGTAGTAGTAGTAGTAGTAGTAGTAGTAGTAGTAGTAGTAGTAGTAGTAGTATTAGTAGTAGTAGTAGTATGATGTGTGCTACTGATATCGACAGATGTATTTAGTATGTATCGTCAGTTGAAAGTGGAATGCCTGGTGGCAGAAGGTCAAGGAAATCGACGAGAAGAGAACAAGACCAGAGAGTGATTGGTATGAAAACGAGGGAACAACAAAGCTTGAGACAATTGATGGATATTTTGCAAATGAATTATTTACTGTATGGTTCTTAGATTTTACCAAGATATTCTGTAATGTTGTATTGAGGTACATTTGGTTTATTATTATTAGTAGTAGTATTAACTTTATTCAATATTATATTTTTGGTACAATATAGAATTCTCAACACAAAGTATTTTAACGAATTTCCGTTTCTTACTTCTTCGACGATTCTGACGATAAATATTGAGTGATCGCCAACTAGATATTAGCAGTTCGGTCAATCGACACCTAAATAATGTACATTCTTTTCGCTTTATATTGCCAGCAACTACAATGTCTCTGATTGGGCCTTTTACAACCTCTACAGCGAAAGGTTTAACTCTTTTCAGAAATGCATCTGAATAGGTCAAGCGATTAATAGCTATAATGATGTATTAAAACAAACAAAATTAGATAAGTTGTTGAAATGTCTAGATGACAGTAACAGGTAGCCCAGATGCTTAATCAGGCCGCCAGTTTTTTTCTCGTTCACAACAGTAGTAGTAGTAGTAGTAGTAGAGACGTTTGTTTTAACCTTATTAACATTATTGGTACAATGTCTTGATTGATTCAAACTGATTTCATTCTATGAGTGACCTGAGTTATTCACAATTACTTACTATGTACATAATACAATGTATCACAATTCAACATGCTCTGTAAAGAAATATACAAATACAATGAAACTTTTCAGTGAAGATTACACACGAATATACAACACTTAGCAACTAAATGAACTGAAAAATGATTAAAAAATACTGTTTAAGACATATGAAGTGAATATTCAGATGTGTATTTTAAAGGTTAATCAAGAATTTATGTATATTTCACAACTGTACTAGAAAAAGTAAATTACCCTCTTTGATTATTCCCTGCTGAGGAGTCCTACAATAGGATGAAACGGCCATCAAGCAATGCTTCCATGTTTTCCATGGTGGTCTAGCTTCAATTGACTTATAATTTCAACTATCAAAAATATTAAAATCTCCACAAAACCCTTTCTGATTATAATTATATTTCTTTTTTTAAGAAAAAAAAACATCTTGGATAAATTCCTAATCAATATCTTTCCTATACACATTTTAGTAATGATTTCTATACTTTCATTAGTTGCTATTCACAACTGAATTTCTATCGGTCCCTTTTAGTTGAAATAAATATGTGTAGTGAATTCAACTACTAACTACAATTCATTTATTCTATTTATAAAGAACAAAAAAGGTACTACAATGTAATCATCATATGATATCTTAAAGATACATTTAAAATTGTGAAGTAGTATGGTGGTTGGAGGTGGTCAACAGGAAACCCTGGACCCGGGTTTCGTGCTACTTGGCACTCGTCAGCAAGGTGTACCTGTAATCCTGAGGGAACTGATGCTCCCTGGCGGATTCGATCCCGCGTCACTCAGCTTCACAGTCAGAGACGTTACCACTGAGCTATTCGGGCCGCGACCAACCTCCTGTAGGACTGAGATGTAATTACAATTGATTGATCACTGGATGGTGATGGGATCGAATCCGCCAGGGAGCATCAGTTCCCTCAGGATTACAGGTACACCTTGCTGACGAGTGCCAAGTAGCACGAAACCCGGGTCCAGGGTTTCCTGTTGACCACCTCCAACCACCATCTTACCTCAGTATATATAGTGCAAGCAGTGTCGAGCTACCTAGACTGGTGGCCACATTGCACCTCGATCGATAGCATTCGATCAGCACTAAGAAGGACCTGACATGCATGAGATTGATCACCATCCAGTGATCAATCAATTGTAATGTGAAGTAGTATAAACTACTGAGATTTTATTCATCACTTACTTATTATCAAGATATGTCATCACATGATATACAAATGAGATTAAGATAAGATTGTTAAGCGAGAATTCAATACAGTTATTTAGTTAAAATGATGAAAATGTTGGCATTTTTCTGATTAAACTTTAATGCATTCATAGTTGAAATAATGAGTCAATTAAAGATAGACCACTGTGGAAAACTTGGAAGCACTGGACGGCCGTTTCGTCCTATTATGGGACTCCTGAGCAGTGCGCATCCACGATCCCGCCTCACGAGCGAGATTCGAACCCAGGACCTACTAGTCTCACGCCAGAGCACTTAACCATCCCATAATAGGACGAAACGGACGTCCATTGCTTCCAGGTTTTTCATGGTGGTCTAGCTTCAATTGACTCATGATTTCAACTATGAAAATACTGAAATCTCCACAAAACCTCTTCTGATTTTAATGCTTTCATTATAGATTTCGATAACATTACCAATGTCTACACTGGGTATAATTGTTATTGAATATTTTTTGCCTGAATACATATTACTGATGAAGGAAAGTGTACTAAAAGCATATACATTTATAAAACTCTGTAAGTAATTAAAGATGATTTACAATTTAAAATGTTTTCAGTCGAAAAGAGATATACAAAACCGAAAGAAAATTATGTGGTCATTTCATGCTAATGTGAAACTCTTCAGGAGTTTAGATTCATGATCTAGACAATGATCAAATCAAAGAAACTCAGGACACTCAGTGTTTCCTAGTTTTCACCATCTATCTAAAAAAAAACAGTTCATAATGTGAATTGCTGACGGCCAGCCATTTCTAACCTACTCTGTCATCGGCTCCTCTTTTCAGTTCTGGTCAAGTGATATTCGTTCTGTCGATGTATGCCTCCAATCTCCAGCACAATGTGTTCTTTCATCTACCACTTTTCCTCCCACATTCAGGCTTCAAAATTAAAACTTGCCTCCTGATGCGATTTCATGATTTCCACAATATGCGACCTATCTACTACAAATGTCCTTTCCTAATTTTCTCTTCGGATGCAAGTTGGTTTACTCTCTCACACAGTAGATTGTTACTGATGGTATTCGATCAACGGATATGGATTATTGTGTGTAGACAGTTGTTTATAAACATTCGTGATATTTTGATGATTGTTATATTAGTCCACTAAGGTTTAGCTCCATACAATAGAAATGTCTTAGTGTTTGTTTTGAAAACTCTGACGTAGGTGTGGTTTGACAGTTGATTTGAGTTGCAGATGTTCTTCAATTGTAGGAATGCTGCCCTTCCTTTAGTAGTTCTTAGGCTAAGGATAAACTCTACGTTTTCAAGCCATCTAATTGTATTGTAGTCCTTCATTACGATCATATTTTGTTTATTTAGTCACTCAATTATAGATATTACGGAGTAAATGCTGCCGGAGGTACGACTTTTGCTATGTTGTTATTTTTCTTTCATCATGACTATGTGATTATACTTGAAAAGTTCATACTATGATAGAGTGTTATTTTCGTCGTAGAAAACTATATTTTCATGTAAGCCAGCAAAAATGACAGAGATCAAAATACTCGTTCCATCATGCATTAAGATAATGTAAATGATTAATTACTGCTTCATTTTGGTTGCTTGCCAGTTACAAAGTTAAAATTGAGAACGAGAGTGGAGTTTATCTTCATCTTAACCCGTGTCTTCCCATCTTCATCAGATCCCTCTTGTTTCTCAACGACGGTGTTCAGGTAGGTACGTTAAACTTTTCACCTTTTCTAGAGCTTTTCCATCAAATGTGATTTGCTCGCTGCTTGGTATAAATGTTAAGATTAATTAGTAGAAGTTTGTTATGTTCATATATAATATTTCTTCCTATACGAAAAATTCAATAATATTGACTTCAACTTAACACCAGGCAGTTAGAGTTAGTTAATCAGTATAGAAAAACCTGGATAGTGTTTCTTACTACTTGGCACTAATCCATTATAAATGTGTTTATAATTAGTTGAGATCAATCACTATCACCATCTATGATATTACCCTGTGAACTATTTACGCTCTAAGTTACATTTTACAAATTCATTACTAAGTAATATTCAATGTTGTGTATGCAGTCAATTAAATAACACTGAAACCTAGTTAAGTGATGCACTAAGTTGAAACTATCCTTACTTTGGAAAATTTATCACCGGACATTCAATGCTTGATGACAAGTCATTAGGGTCAATGAGGTTCATAACGGATGGATTAATTGACTCAACAGAATTGATACATGCATCTGATTGGTCATAACCTCTCACTATAGTACTTTATGAATTTGTTAAGAAAGCAGGATAGCCTCCCATTAAGGATGTCCCAAACTAGAGAATCATTATATGTCCATGTCCATGATGTAAGATTACGAAAGTTGAATCATCTCAGTTAGCTCGATTGGACAAAGACTATGAATCGGACAACATATATGGGATCACTATATCGATTATACTTCAACATCTACACATGTTTACCTAGTCGTTAGTGTTGATCGAATTTTATTGACAAAAGTTCTAGTGAGGAGTTGTGACCAGTAAAGTCCAATCCGTGTCAGGTGTGAGGCAATCATCCACTTCAAATAATAGATGAAATTGGATTGATAACAGATATACATTATCACTGTTGGATGCTGACTTAGTGGTCTAGAGGTTAAGCGTTCGTGTGCGAGATCAAACGTTCTGGGTTCGTGGATGCACACTGTTGAGGAGCTAAGTACTAGGACGAGATGGCCGTCTAGTACTTCCAGGTCTTCGATGGTGGGCTAGCCTAGATCGATTCGTGATTTCAAATGGGAAAATACAAACGAGTTGTAAA